GTAAATTAGTGAAATGTTACACAATTGATATTCAGGGTGAATCACATATGCTACTGTAGTATGTATTATCGTTATAACATTATTTATAAAAGAAGGTAACATATAGTGAGGATTATAAAAAAGTTGTAGACTAGTACTTGGTATTGTACTTTATGCTACTGAAATTCCTATGTACATACAAATGTTTTTAATTTTTATATTATGGTTTATTTAAATATTGACATATCCTTAGTTATTTTTCTGTATTATAATTTTATATGAGAAAAGGCCAACTCATATACATATATATTACAGTATATAACTTTTACATGAAACAACGATATTTATGGTCCTACTTTATTAATATTAGTTAATTTTGTTGTATGTATACCTTTCAATTTCAACCACTGTCTGTGTAAACAACAAATCATACCTTTGAACATATATTATTTGAAGAAAGTGACTCATTATCAAAAGAGAGTATTATATATGAAATGATGTAAAATTTATTAAGTAAGCTCCACCTATTACATTTTTAAATTCATTGCAGTTAATGTGTGCTATTGGCTGTGAACATATTTTACTAGATATCTGTTATGAACTAAGAAAAAATAATTATTCACAGTTTTACACTCAGTTATATGTTTAAGAAAAATATTTTGTTGTTTAGTCTTAATATTCAAAGAAATCTATACATTGCTGATATTGTATATATACAATTGTTTTAAAAACATTTTTAAAAAGAAATATATATATATAAGATATTTAAGGTATTAGAGATAAACAAAGTAAAATACACGCATTTTAACGTACGTATAAAACACTCGCTAAACCCAATATTAAATTCTCTCAATCATGATACATTCTATTACCAAAATGACCATTTTACACATACTGTACTTGTTTAAAATTCAGATGGAAATTAAACTTAAAAATAAAGATATATAATAAGAAAAGAAATATATGTACAAAAAAATTATTATAAAAAATTGTGATTAATTATATCACATAAAATTAATAATAAATATTTCCATTTGAAAATTTAAACAATGTACTAATATGGTATCATACTAATCAAAGATACAATATTTATGAGAATATAAACAATATAATTGTAAGCTCTTCCCCAGTATGATTATCGTATGATAGTCATTGCTTTATTTGTAACATATGCAACTATTGGATAAATAAAAATAAAAATGTTAAACAAATTTATTTTATTCATGTTATAATTTTATGATAGATTAAAATATCTTCTTTTATATTTTACTTCCTTTTTTTGAATAAATACAATTATATTAACTAAGAAATATAAATCATTGATAGTTTACAATATTTTTAAATTATCCAAACAGCATTATTTTTCCTTGATACGTGCTGCGTAGTTTTATCTTCTACTGATAAAATCAGTAAAAGCAAGTGATGTAACTTATGTATGAGTAATGTAACTGATTTGTTTGCACAATTTGTTTAATATTAAAATCTTTATTATATTTCAATTTTTATTTAATCTGCAATAAAGCAATCGTCAAATATAACCTATGAGAAAGGAAATACAATAGTGTTCGGATATATGACCACCGCTCGAGACCGCGCCTGGCCATATATCCGGAGAGGTAAATTTTTTGAAAATTGGCCGATGTTAACTGACTCTGGCTCACTCTGTCGTATATTAGTAAGAGTGAAAAGTTGGCAGTGCGAGTGAGACAGAATAGGTAGAGTGTAATAATACTGTTGAGTTAGGTCATTTCTTACTCCTAATAATTATTTCTTTAATTTAGTTCCTATTAAAAAATTATCGGAAGAATGCAATTGTAAGGAAATTCAATCAATTAGCAACCAAGCTTGGGTATATTATTATTTTTCCTATTTTTATTATTATTATTATTAAACCTTCCACTTTCTCAATTACTTTTTGGCCATATATCTGGACACTACTACATATATTAATCGTTTAGCTTAAAACTAATACAAAAGTTAATACAAATATAGTCATGTTTGGTATCATTTTAACCAAACGAATCTCAATAATCCGACTAAGGCTATCTCGTAACAATATAACACAAAATATAAAAATTTATATTTTTCTTATTCCGGTAATTCATTATCAGTTGAGATAACGTCGAGGCCTGTCTCGAGCCTGCAGTTTTAGAAATTGGTGGGGATGTCTTGCGGTCATATATGCGGACAAATTCGTGGCCATATATCCGGACACTACTGTAATACTTACGATTATATTTTAGGATAAATAAAATGGCAAAAAATAAAACCCAAGATAAATTTGCAAAAAATAAAAATAAAAGTACCAATTCTAAAAAAGAAGGTATATTTAACATGTATATTTTATGCATTGCTATTGCTATTTGGTGTAGTTATAAAGGATATCTAGAAACAAGGGTAAATACACCATATAATGTAAAAAAGGTAGGTACTACATATTTATAGTTATCACTTTGAATTCAATAATAGAATGATTATTTTTTGTTTAAAAATAGCTAGTAACAGCTTCTGGATTGGATATTCCAGACAGATATTGGGGTACTTATCGATCAGGAGTTTATTTTGGACTAAAAACTCGAGATCCACATTCCTTAGTAACGGGATTAATGTGGTATTTTCCACATTTGTTACGTCAAGATGGTAGTGGCCTTAGACATTGGTGTGAGCAAAGTGATAGAATAGAGAGGTAAATGAATTTTACTTTATTCAATATGTATTATCAAATTTATGTAAATATTCATGGTCCAATATCAATTTAGATATGGATGGTTAGAGCATGATGGAAGAACTTTTGGTGTTCAAGAAATAGTAGATAGTCCAGCCATTTTAACTACAACATTTGTTAAAATTCCTGGTGGTAAACATGGTGGGGATTGGACAGCAAAAATTGCTGTAACTTCCAAAAATCAAGTACCAAGTTGGGAAAAAATTTCATTACTTTTTTATACTGCTATTGAAGAAAGCACTAAAGGATGGATTAAATATAATTATGGTGATGGAACACAGCCAGTAGGTGTAGAAGGGAATACCGAAGGTTTAGGTTCATTTAATATAAATTTGAAAGTAATACAGGGAATTGTAACAGAGCAGTCTTTCTTAGCAACAGTTGCTCCTGGCTTAAATGTTTTGAAAGAAACTGTTCTTCAAAATCTTAGAAAAGTAAACAAGAATATAGTTTTAGCAGGTGAACAACTACCATTATCACCAGATGGAAAAAAGAAAGATGCAAATTTTATTGTAACACAGATAACTGCAAGATTTCCTTTTGAAATTGAAGTAAGTTATGAATCAGGTAGTTTTATCAATTTTGGTGACAAACTAACTGGCCAAAATTATGACCTCACTCTTGAAAAACACCGAAAATTGTTTGACAAAAAGTTTGAAGAAGTGTTTAAATTAAGATCAAAAGCTTACTCAGAAGAAGAAATTAAATTTGCAAAAATGGCTCTATCAAATATGATAGGCTCCATAGGTTACTTTTATGGAAGTTCACAAGTACAAAGCCAATATACTAAAGGACCTGTGCCTTATTGGAAAGCACCTTTGTATACTGCTGTACCTAGTAGAAGCTTTTTCCCACGAGGGTTTCTGTGGGATGAAGGTTTTCATGGTTTACTTATAGCAGCTTGGGATTTAGAAATTGAACTAGATATCATAAATCACTGGTTTGATTTAATGAATGTTGAAGGTTGGATTCCAAGAGAAATGATTTTGGGTCAAGAAGCTTTGGCAAAAGTTCCAGAAGAATTTGTGACCCAAGTAAATACAAACGCAAACCCACCTACATTTTTCTTAACATTGCATTTCATACTTAAGCATAAACAGAAAGAACTATTAGAGAAACATTTTCATTTTCTTGATAATCTATACCCTCGTCTTCAGGCATGGTTTAATTGGTATAATACTACACAAACTGGAGATATACCAAGCACATACAGATGGCGAGGTAGAAATGGAACAACCAATAGAGAATTAAATCCAAAAACGCTCACATCTGGATTAGATGATTATCCTAGAGCTTCTCATCCAAATGTTGACGAACGGCATGTTGATTTACGATGCTGGATTGCATTTGCTGCTGATGTTATGTATCAAATTAGTGAAATTTTAAGCCAGTCTAATAGTAAATATCAAGAAACGTATCAGTATTTATCCGATAATGATTTATTAAATAAATTGCACTGGTCACCGAGTACACAAAGTTATGCTGACTTTGGATTGCATACAGATAAAGTAGAATTGCGGAAATCAACTCCACCTCCAAGATCGCACGTACAGCAGTCGGAAACAATACGAGTTGTCTTAGAAGATCCAACTTTAAGATACATCGATACATCTTTCGGTTATGTTTCATTGTTCCCATTTATTTTACAAATTATCGATCCGAACTCTCCACAATTAGGTAAAGTATTAAAAGATCTAACAAATCCTAATCTATTGTGGACCAAATATGGTTTGCGATCGCTTGCAAAAATATCGCCATTTTATATGAAATACAATACTGAATATGACGCTCCTTACTGGAGAGGAGCTATGTGGATGAATTTAAATTATTTAACAGTGCGAGCGACGCACTATTACTCCAATATCAAAGGTCCATATCAAAATAAAGCGAAAGAAATTTATGGGAATTTAAGGAAAAATTTAATACAAAATGTTATTAAACAATATAAAACATCTGGATATGTATGGGAAAATTATGGAGATGTTCATGGAGAAGGCAAGGGGAGCCATCCATTTACTGGTTGGACATCATTGACTTTACTACTTATGGCAGAAATTTATTAATAGTAGTACTGTAAACAGCTTCTTCTACAAGTATGCTATTTTAATAATGGCAGAATTAGAAGATATTGCTGGTGTTCACTTGAAGTAAACACAGGTGGTGTGAATTTCAGTTGTTAAACATAAGAGTGTGATAATATACATAAATTATCAGAATCACTTACAGAATTAAAAGCTCTTTTATGATAGAATATACAAATTTTACAAACTGATAACCACATAGGACATTCCCCTACACATTCTCCAATCATATAAAATTAATTACATATGTACGAAAGCTATTTTAATAGTGATCTATATTTTTACATTAAATTGCTAATTGCCTACAATATAACGACCTTAAATTAATTGAATAAATATTGAAATACACTTTTTGTTCATATGTAGATTATGCACAACTTTTATATTTCTATTTTAAGTTGTTATAATGTTTTTTGTACAATTATTGTTTTTTAGCATTTAAATGGCGAAATCGTAAGACTAAGCGGAATAATTTCCATGTTATTTCGATTTAAAATAGTTAAACAGATAAAACATTTTAAAATCTTGGCTCTGACTTGTTGAAACAGAAATTATGCTGTAATGTTAAGTCACCTTGAAATAAATGCATTTAAAGTTTTTAAGCATTTTTATTTAATAAACGCTATCAATAAGTATTTCTTTATAATTAATATTTTCATTAAGTAAAATTAATTATGTCTTGTAAATGATAAATAATTGATAAAAAGTACCTTATTTCGATTATTTGGACAAAAATTTGAATGAGCTATTGGTAATCCTGTTTGTAACTAGTAAGAAGAAATAATTTTATTTCGCTTGGCTGTCGATAACTTTCTTCAGACCTCACCAGCGGGTAGGTGTGTGGCTGTAGGGTTACGATTGTGGATTTTCAAAGTTCTTACATAAAATAGTGCGGTTTTTAGATAACTATGGAGACTTTAGTTAATCAACCTGTAGTTATCGACAATGTAAGTGACATATTAAATTTAAAAATCTTCAAATTTTTTCCTTTCTTTATCACGGTCTGTCAAATCGAATCCTACCACAATGTCGGCTCCTAAGCAACGCCAAATTTTCACACTTTCTCTTTAAAATTATGAGCATTATTCATATCATGCAATTTTCCTATTTTCTCTCATATTATTGTTATTATTACTATTTTGTTATAAGAACACGTTATATATTATAAGATTCTAATGATATGTTTGAAATAAAACAGTTTCTTTTGTTTAAAATCGATAATGGTATTTAATAATGATATTACATGTTTATTATATTTTTTTTAGGGTTCTGGTATGGTCAAAGCGGGATTTGCAGGCGATCAGATACCAAAATGCAGATTTCCAAATTAGTAAGTAAATCTTCTGATATCATCTAATTAATATTCTTGACAGTGTTCTGTTTGCTTGGAGGTTACTGACAGGTGGTAAAGCAATCTCAAGAGTTTGGAATTGTTAATTTTTGTATTTTACTTTCCTTTCTTTCTAATTCATTTAGTGTTACTGATTATATAATTTATTGTTTTAATTCTATTTATTTAAAAATAATTTTCATTATTGACAATATAAGTGTCACCTGTACATTAAAGTAATAAATTTGCAGTATTGGCAGACCCAAACATGTACGTGTTATGGCTGGTGCTTTAGAAGGA